CTGCACTGACCAAGCAGCCTTCCCATCCTGGGTGGCTTCTGTTGACCCCAGAGGATGCTGCACCCGAACTCAGGACAGAGCCTGAACTTCTCCAACACAAGCGATGTTCCAGGCAGGCTGTGGACATTGGCAATAAATTTGCAAAAAAAAGAAACCTAACTAAACGATGAAGCGCATGCTATTTTGAACATGTAGGGTCATTGCTCTGCTCCCCCAAAGATGCTGTGTCCCTGGGCTGACTGCAGGCCTACGGTTTCCAGCTCCCTCCAAGTGGGTCTCCCCACGGCCACTGCATCTCCCCACCCCACTCAGGTGTCCTAGTCATGAAGGGCCACACGGGGAGCACATTTTCAAAACCCCCATCACTTCTGGCTGGGGCCCTGCCGGGAGCCCGGTTGCTGTGTGTGAATGCTGGCCGGACGGGAACAGTTCCGGGGTGTGGGAACGGAGAGAGGAGGCGGCCGGGTGCAGGGCTGCGGGGACGCACCTGCACTCGCAGCGGGCCCCGTAGGAAGCTCTGGGTCTGATGCTGATCACAGACGAAGGCCCGGGTTGGCGTCTCTGTGTCCTCTCTGCTGCCCACGGGCTGGATGATCCCTGAGACGCGTCTAATCTTCCTCGTCTGATACACAGCACAGGGCCCAGGCCAGATCAGCGGCTCAGCTCTCAAACAGCAGAGTTCGGAAGGCTCATCTGGCTAACACGTGAAAAACAAGGACCGCCCGGCAACCCTCAGAAGCTCTGGTTTCAAAGGTCCCTGCGGTGATGGTGCTGATGGTCTGTGGTCCACAGGTGGGAAAAGCTGGACCAGAGAGAAGCCTTTGTCCTCGGGCATCGCCGACAGGCCCCAGCTCTGATTCTAAACTGGATTCTCTACGGTTGGCTCTGACGTTCCTTTTTTTTTCTTTTGCCTTTTATTTGTTTTTAGTTGTGGGACGATTGCTTACAGAACGTTGCTGTTGTCAGTCAAACCTCAACATGAATCGGCCTTAGGTAAACGTGTAGCCCCTCCTTTTGGACCTCCCTCCCTCCACTGATGTTTACACACATGAAATACTTTAAAATTACCAGAGTATTCATGATCTTTCTTTCATAATTAACTTGGCAAACATTAAGAGAGTAATGGGCTTCCCTGGTGGCTCAGCAGTCAAGAATCTGCCCGCAATGCAGGAGATGCGGGTTTGATCCCTGAGGAGGGAAGACTCCCTGGAGAAGGAAATGGCAACCCACTCCAGTGTTCTTGCCTGGACAATCCCACGGACACAGGAGCCTGGCGGCCTACAGTCCGAGGCGTCACAAAGAGTCGGACATGAGCAACTAAACAATAACAACAAGAGAGGAATAGCTTTGAGAAGAGTGTCCTTGGGTGAAGGGCTAATCGTACCAAAGCAAGCAGATGAGGAGTTGGCTGTTTATCAGTTACTCCCCAGAAGACTTTCTGGGACGATCTGCACGTGGTCATCTTTCTCTTTTTCATCTTTGCTTTCTTCCCCATCCTTTCTTCTCTTCTGTCTCCCTCAGGCGACTCTGCTTTATCTGGGGGCTCCTGTGATTACAGCCACTGCCCTGTGTAAAAGCAAACAGGGACCGTGGGCTCAGGACACCCTGAGAGCAGATGGGAAACTGGACCTGGCGGATGAATTCGTCTGCTGTCACCATGGAGCCCCGTGCCTCCGTTCTGGGGTTTTGATCGGAACAGGAGGCGCCCTCATCGGTTGTCAGCTTGCTCTGACTGCATCGAACCTTAGATGGAAAGATGAAGAAAACCAAAATCATCCGCAGTAGGGAAAGTGGAGGCTCTCTGAGGTGTAGCCGTGAGTACTTTATTAGAGCAGTGGTAGAGAATATTCACACACGGGAAAACACCAGTAAATACGGGGTTGAGGGGGTAGTGTTTGAATAATATGACACTTGGGTCTCTAGCAAGGTTAATAACACTATACAGAATCACTTTTGAAACAGCCAGTTAGAGAACTAATTTTGCTTCTAAAACTCACTGTTTTTTGGAACAGATTTCCTGGGATTTGTAAAGAAGACAATGCATACGAATCTATGGATATTTATTTTATTTGCAGGAGTGACTCGCCCTTGGCGCAGAGAAGCCCTGGGCATGCGCACGCCCATAGGCCGCCGCTGGCACGGCCGTGATGCCCGCCCCGCGGACGTTCCGACCCGGTCCCCGAAGCGCCGGCCTTCACCTGACCCTACCCACGGCGGCTCTTGCCTGGCTCCAGTGTGTGCCTGGAACAAGCAACACTTCTACGTACATTTTCCCCTTCTTTTTACTTTTTCCCCTCTCTACATAGATCGTCAAGCTTTAGTCATGGCGGGAGAATAATAATACTCGTTCCAGTTTTCCCAGCTTCCTGATTAAGTTTTCTCAGGACTCTTTAAAATGTATGCATTCCCTAAGAAGTGCTGGGAAGACATTTCTGTAGGGAGACATCACGCTTTCCTGGGTGTCTCGGTTTAACGGCGGCAGCGAAGGTGACCTGGTACCCTCAGATGGCTGCGTGGGGTGGACAAGACTTTGAACAGGACCAAAAGTGATTTTATCTTCTCCACCTTTGAGGCAGTTAAAGAGTTTCCTTCCTTCTGGTTCAGCCCAGGGTTTCAAAAAAAAAAGAAAAATACTACATTTGTGTTAATAATTAAAATGCATGAATTTGAGTCAGCTCTAATGAGGTGGATGAACCTAGCGCCTATCTTACAGAGTGAAGGAAGTCGGAAAAAGAAAACTGTTGTAGACTAACACACACATCCGGAACCTAGAAAGATGGTACCATATATACGGAATCTAGAAAGAAGCACTTATTTGCAGGGCAGCAATGGAGAAACAGACATAGAGAACAGACAAATGGACACGGGCTGAGGGAGGACAGGGTGAGATGTGTGGAGAGAGTAACATGGACACTTAAATTATCCTGTGAAATAGACGGCCAGTGGGAATTTGCGGGATGTCTCGGGGAACCCAAACAGGCGCTCTGTATCAACCTAGCGGGGTGGGATGGGGAGGGAGGTGGGAGGGAGTTTCAAGAGGGAGGGGACATATGTACACCTATGGCTGATTCAGGTTGGTGTTCAACAGAAAACAACAAAATTCTGTAAAGCGATTATCCTTCCATTAAAAAGAAACAAATTAAAATTTTTTTAAAAAATTAGTGCATGAAGACCAGGTAATAATGCAACGGGAAGAGGGTGGAGAGCGATCCTACTCACAAAGATTGCCTAATGGGCACTACATCAGGAACTAATCTCACTGTTGTTGTCTTGACCTGTTGCCTGACAGCAAAGCCAGTAAACTGGAGCAAACATCGTGCTTCCTCTGTCCACGCCTGTCTCTCATGACCACATAGTCTTGAGCAATATTACATCTTACCCACAGAATCGATTTGTACTGAGGGCATATGGTGTACACCCAAAATCCAAATTTCCTTGTCTTCAGATGAAAGTTGAGGTGTAACAAAATACAATTAAGAAAACTTACTCCAAAATAAAGTATTTCACATGAAAAGACTATGAATTAGAGACTTTAAAAATAAATGTATGCTATGAAAGTTCTCTTCTAAAATTCTTATCCAGTTAGATCATAGCCTGAGTTGGATGGTGAAGAAAAATTTGTAGGGAATTTTAACAGATGATAATGCTCCAATTGAATTTAAAATATGTAAGCATTCATTCAGTAATCTTTTGGTGTAAGGCCAAGGTCTCTTCTTTCTGTACAGTCTGCTGATTGGAGTTGTTTGTTATCTTTCTTGAATAAATCTTGCCTGTGATGTGTTTTCAGCATCTTTAAGTGGAGGTAGAAATTAAAGCAGTTTCAAAACAATCTGAGTGCACAAAGCTTCTGGATTTGTAAGATTAGATTTCCTATGATTATGATGCAATAAAATTAACCTTTTTTTTAGTGTATACGATTCTGCACTAACACATGCATAGATCCGTGGTGTTGTATTGTTGCTATTTAATTGCTAGGTCATGCCGACTCTGTGTGGCCCCCTGGACTGTAGCCCTCAGACTCCTCTGTCCCTGGGGTTCTCCAGGCAAGAATACTGGTGTGGGCAGCCATGCCCTCCTGCAGGGGATCTTCCCGACCCAGGGATTGACCCGCATCTCTTGCACCGCAGGCGGACTCTTTACCACAGGGCCACCTCGGCCCTGCTGGAGGCGGAGAGGCAGGCACGGCGGGCCTGAGTCGGCCAGCATGTGCGGCTGTTATTCAGGGTCTCGGAAAGGCAGGACTCTCACCAGAGCAGCACAGTCATCCCATCAGCTGGGAACGTGGTCTTCACGTCTAGCACGGGAACTGTCCAGGCAGCCCTGCTGCCCGTGGGAGCCTGTGAGACTCACATTCTAAGTGCAGGCTCCGCGGCTCCCCACAGGGGAGGAAACTCACACACCCTCGTGCTCACACACATGCCTGCACACGTGCAACTTGAGAGCAAGCCCGGTGAGCGGTACACGGACATCCAGGGCTTGCACGTGGGATTCTGGGCAGCCTGGGTGCTGGGGGAGCCCTGCTGGTCAGACGGGAATGCGATCCCACCCCAGCCATATTCTGCTCAGGGGCTGCTTTCCATGTTCTTCTTTCTTTCTCTCTCTTTCTAAAATTGGGTGCTCAGGGCTGGTGCACTGGGACGACCCTGAGGGATGGGATGGGGAGGGAGGTGGGAGAGTGGTTCAGAATGGGGAACACATGTACACCCATGGCTGATTCATGTCAATGTATGGCAAAACCCCTACAATATTGTAAAGTAATTAACCTCTAATTAAAACAAATAAATAAAATAAAATTGAAGTATAGTTGAATTACAGTGTTGTGATAATGTCTGCTGTATAGCAGAGTGACTCAGTTATGCATATACATATTCTTTTCCCTCACGGTTTGTCACAGGATACTGAATATAGTTCTCAGGGCCATACAGCAGGACCTTGCTATTTATCCATTCTTTTTCTTTCTTTTCTATAGACAAGGCAGCAGTTACACACATCTTCAAAAATCACCTTCAGGCTCACATTTAATGCATTCTTTTTCTCAAGAAGACTAAAATGACAGATACCAGCGCCGCCGGAGGGAATTCTGGAACACACAGCGCCTGTGATGCCCCGGCAGCGCTTCGGGGCTTCGTGTGTCCCTGAAAAGACACACTCCTCAGGGGGCGAGCCAACTGCAGGGGTGGGGGGCGGTGTCTCCTGGAAGGCAGGAGGCCCCCTTTTAGACGCAGGAGTTGGGAAAACGTCATTTTCGGGCCATTTGTGGTCGATGAGTGGACTCGTGACTTCTGAGCTTCAGCCGTTTCAGGGGCGGAACCTTGCCGGCCGGGGGCGGGCTCTGAGTGAGCCCCGAGGAAAAGCCGGTTGAGAGTGTACAGCCACGTGTTAAAGATGGGCAACTGTTTCCTGAGGATCGGGAGGGCATTCTAGCCACAGGAGATGCTAAAAATATTCTGTGGGAAGAAAGGAGAAAGGGAGGAGAGAAAGGGGATCATCCAAAGCTCTAGAAATAAATGCTCTACTCAGAGGAGAAGGCAAGCAGAACCCCTGCAACCGCCTCCAGTAGAGAGTCAGACACGACCTAGCAGCTGAAAACAACAGCCCCTGCTGCGACGGGACTTGTCGCGACCAGGCCTGGTCCTTCCCGACGGGACTTGCCGTGAACAGGCCTGGTCCTTCCCTCCTGACTGTGTCACCCTGAGCACGTTATCTACCCCTTCCGAGCTTCAGTTTCCTCATCTGTAAAGTGAGCCTTTCTTCATAGGAATTTGTTGTGGGCCAACGAATAAAAAAGAGCTTCTGCATTCGCAATGATGCTAAGCTCCCCATGTGCGATTTGCCCAGTTTCCATGACAGTCTTGCGAAGCTCCTGCCTCTCTGAAAGAGGACAAGAAGATTGGGGCGTGTGCTCAGCTAAGCTGGTGGCAGGACTGGGATTTGAACCCATAGGAGTCTGTATCCCTGATCTGGGCTGGATCCCTCCTTCCTCACCGTCCTAATTTGCAAGTCTTTCTTTTGACCATTTCACATGGTCATTTTGAACTCTGGCCATTTTCAAGATTTCAAACCACATTGAACAGAAGTGTGTTTGGCTAAGCCCGGGCTCAGTGCGATTTGGGGCTTCTCAGTGGGTTTGATTTATCTAGGCTCAGTTCACTATTAGTGGACATAATTGACTCATACTTGTACCTTGTAATCTGAGTCCCAGAAGTATAAAAATTAAGTCCACCAGTATTTTCAAAGTTCAAAGTTTGCATTAGTAAAACAGGGGAATAGAAGCTTCACAGACAATGGCAGCTTTCCAAGAACAAATACTTTTGTTAGTGGGGAAAGCTGGTCTTTTGGGTCACTTAACATTGGCTCTTTAAGGAAGTTATTGTTTAGTTGGTAAGTTGTGTCTGATTCTTTGCAACCTCATGGACTCTAGCCAACCAGGCTCCTCTGTCCATGAAGTTTTCCAGACAAGAATACTGGAGTGGATTGTCATATCCTTCTCCAGGCAGTCTTCCTGGATCGGAGCTAGAACCTGTGTCTCTGTCATTGCCAGGTGGATTCTTTACCACTGAGCCACCAGGGAAGCCGTCTTCAAGGAAGATCAACTGTATAAAGTCGACCTTACGTTGGTCATGACGGTGAGCAGCTACGCTGTAAGACATTTTACACTAGTGTTTGAAAATAAACCCCACACAGTGAGAACCGAGGCAGGCCTGGAGGGAGAGGAAGCTCGGGAGTTTCTGGTTTCCTTGGGGCTGGGAACAGACAAGCACATCTCATCGGCTCTGATCACATCTCCAGTGTTTAGACACTACTCTCCCAGGAGGGAAAGTGGTTCTCTAGAGACATCTTGGCAGTCATAGACCTGCCCAGGTGCCAGCCTGAGAGTTATTTTCTTACACTGAGGATTTTCTTCCCACTCGACAGAGAGGAGAGATGTCCAGACTTGTTTGGGAATATGATCCCATCCATGCTCAGATATATTTAGAATGTCTCCCTAACTCCAGCCTTTCAATAGCCCTCGAGGGATGTGTTGATTTAATTCTTGTATGTTTTAGGATGTTAAAATGGGAAGTACTGAAACACAGATCTGGAATTTACTTCTGGGGGGGGGGTGCCTGATGTCTGCTGACTTGGGTTAACGTGAACTCTGACGAGCATAATTAACTGTGTCAGCAATGCGTTTGCAGAAGAGCATTCAGATCCACACAGAGTTCCATCACTATCTCTCTTCCTGTCTCTTACTCACATCCACATCCACATCCTGTCATGGTCTCTTGCCATTTTCTTGCTACCCCCTTTCAGCCCTAATAAAACCACTTCTTCAGGAGAGTTTCTCTGGAATCAGTGTTGAGCTGAGAAGCGACTTGAACATGAATCATGATAATGTGTCTCACTGTTTATGTAGCAATGAAGATTCTCAAGATGAATGGAGAGGAGCCAGCCACCCTCCATTCATCTCAAAGCCGTGCAGCCCCACTGTTCCTCATGCTGAGAGATTTATTGGTAATTATTGCAGCAGATAAGCAGTCTTGAAGGAAGCAAAAGTTTTCAAAAACTGAGGTGCTTCTGTACCAGAAGGAACTAGGATGTGCATGAACTCTGATACTAAATTAGATGGAAGAAATGCAAAAAACCCAGCAAGTATTTAGAAAATAGTAACCAATGTGTGTTGATTATCTTTTTTTTACTGTGCCTGGCAGTACATGGGATCTCAGTCTCCTGGCCAGGATTGAACACAGGGCCTCAGTTGTGAAAGCACGGAGACCTAACCACTGGACCACCAGGGAACTCTCCCCCAAATTGATTTATACTCCAAAGACTTCAGACACTGGGATTACCCGAAACAAAGTCTAAGACAACCAGAAGTAATCTATTTAAAAGTGAAAGATTACCTTAGAAGAAAACATAGGTAGAACACTCTTTGACATAATTTATAGCATCATTTTTGGGGGATCTGTCTTCTCAGGCAAAAGAAACAAAAGCAAGACAAAGCCAACGGGACCTAATTAAAAGCTTTCGCACAACAGAAAATCATCAACTAAATGAAAACACAGTCTACTAAATGGGCAGAAATTTTGCTAATAATATGACCAATGAGGGGTTAATATTCATCTTCTATATTTTGTCCTACCTCCTTTCGCAGACAATGGGCTGCTTTTCTGGGGGCCTAATGTCCTCTGCTAGTGATCAGAAGTTGTTTTGTGGAGTTTGCTCAGCGTTCAAATGTTCTTTCGATGAATTTGTAGGGGAGAAAGTGGTCTCCCCATCCTGTTCCTCCGCCATCTTAGCCCCTCCCCAGGGTTTAATATTCAAAATATATAAACAGCAAATACAACACAGTATTGAAAAAAGACCCTCTTTCTGTTAATCTCACTCTTCTTTTCCTTCCATCTTTATCGTGGACTATATACATTTATTTACGTTGGCCAATATCCTCACTAGACTATAAACCTCATGAGACTAGAGACATTTTCTTCACCATTTACTGAATGGTTAAATGGATAAATGGATGATAACTAAGTGACTGACTAGAGAAACGTGGGTGGATCTTACAAACACTGTGTTCAGAAAAACTGAGAAACAATGGGAAGGGTAGCACAATTCTATTAATATAAATTATAAGCACAGGCATTGAAAGAAATCCAGCGGGGGAAAGTCTTTTCAACCAATGCTGCTGGAACAACCGTATGGGAAGAACCCAGTTTTTAAAGTGGGCCAAGGGCCTGGACTCTTTATAGAAGACTTGCAAATGGCCTAAAAGCACAAGAACAAACCCAACATCATGAGCCATCGGGGATGTCAAGCAGGACTGCAGCACCCTGAAGTGGACACACATCGGCCTCACCGGGGAGTCCAACGGCACCGGTCTTAGACGCAGCTTCCCAATTTCTCATAAAGTTCAATTTCTCCAATGACCCAGCAATCCCAGTGCCAGGGAGGAAAGTCCTGGGAGCATCTTACTGGAAGCGTGTTGGAGGCAGGGGTCCCAGGGATTTCAGGAAGCAGGGCTTTCCTCCCCCAGGCCCCAGGGACCCCTGGGAGGCCCCCATTTGGCTCGGCACAGGGGCAGCTGTGGATCTGAAATCTGCCTGGGGCCTGGCGCGTCCACAGGACTCATCCCTTGGAGCCACCCCCAGCACTGCAGTCCCTGGCCGTCACCCAGGCCTGGGCGGCCCCGTCAGTCCCCAGCTCTGCCTCCCAGCCTGGCCTGGACCTCTGCCCGAACACCTCCGACCCGTTCAGCACTCACCTGGTGAGCGCCACCCTCATGCCAGCTCCAGGCTGGACGCCGGGCGGGGAGGACAGAACCCCTGGGCCTTCGCCCTGCCCCTAAGTGCTCAGGATGGCGGAAACAGAGAGAGTATGCAAAGCGAAGTCTGCGAGAGCTGCCAGGCTGCCCTCAGGCACCGGTCCAGCCGGAACTTTCAGAGGACTCGGCAGAGCTGACCCTGCACTCTCAGACATCCCTCCTCATCTGACGCGGCTCTCCGCTTCCTGCCCGTCCTCCCCAGGCCCCCAGGCCCACAGGGCAGCCTGTTCCTGGCCACCAACATCTCACCCTCGCTGTGATGTTTTTAGATATGGGACGTTGCCCCCATTTCCCCTGAGCAGCCTCAAGCCACAGGATCGGCTGCTCCTTCAGTGGGTGAAACGGGAGTTTTCAGACTCTGCTTTGCAGAGACCTCTTGCAGCTGGCCATCATAGGTATTTACAGTGGGGAGGAGGCGCTCAGGTTTTGGGAGACTGGTATTTTCATCTTTTAAGTATCCATGGAGATGTTATTTATGAGTTCTATTTCTCTTTTCATTCTACCTGTAAATTCCACTCTTACCATCATCCTGGAGAGGTGAATTTATTCCCAAACTAAACACAGATTACATGAACTGCTGTCACCTCTGGGTAGGGAACTGATTACATTTGTTTCACAGTCACCCAGATACACGGTGAGACACATACGGAGAGGAGGAGGATGAGGGAGAGGAGGGACAGGAGGGGGAGAGACGGAGAGGGAGGTGGTCTGTCTCCCAAACTTGCAGCTCAGCTACTTAGCAACTTCCTACTTACTCACAGAAACCCCACCTTAACAATGAGTCAGCTCTTCACATCAGGAGCTTCAGCTTCAGCATCAGTCCCTCCAATGAACATTCAGGACTGATTTCCTTTAGGATAGACTGGGTTTGATCTTTTTGCAGTCCCAGGGACTCTCAGGAGTCTTCTCCTTGAGAACCTCTCAGTTCTTACAAGGTAACTTGTCATCTGAGGGTCGAGTGGGAGCAGCTACTTCCCAGATGGCCCTTGTAGCGTAGAGAGCCTGACACTTGGTTTTTCTGGGTACACTGTAAGCGCCTGGTTAAGCTTTTGACTGTTGAGGCTGCCACTTCAAGGCCACCTATCTCAAATAAACAACTTCCCAGCTCCACAGCTAGGTAGCAAAAAGCCAAGCCAACCCACCCATGAAGTTCCCCTATTAGAATGACGGGTGACCCAGATAAACAAAGATAGCCGATAAAATGGACCGTGCTTTCCCCTGCTTAAGTCTTAATTCCCACTCTTAGGTTTTAAATTCACCCATAGAGAGAGAACCATCAAAACCATAAACACCCCACCCACAGGTCACAAGAGGCCGGGTACTTGTCACTTGAGGTCACTTGCGAAGAGGACGTGTGAATGGTCAAGTCTGGATCTGTCTAGTTTGAGACTCGGTCCAGCCGCCAGGACCTTTCCATCCACTCTTGGCTCTTAGTGGGGGAACTGCTTCCTTTCCAAGGCCTCGGTCACCATCCCGTGAGCCGGCCGTGGGCTCTGGATCCTGGGACCCCAGGCAGGGCTGTGTGAGTGCCGCCGGGGACTCTGGGTCTGGGTCCGCCTCTGCGGGGAGACCTCCTCCCTCTCGCCTTCCTGACTGTGTGCGCTGGGCCTGAGGTCCCGCCGGCCACCCCGCGACCAGGACCCGCTTTCCCTCCTGACGTCTAGAGGCGGTGGCTGCCCCATCCTGGCAGCTGCGCTCTGCTGGGAGAGGCGGACGAATCATGTTAAAGGAGCTTTCAGGCCACCAGAGGGGAAACGTGGGAAAGCAACCTCTTCCGTCTCCTCTTTCCTGCTCTCTTTCTTCCTCCTCTGTCTCCCTTCTCCCTCCATCCCTGCCCTTCCCTCTCGCGGCCTCTGTCTCCCCCTTGTCCAGGTTTTCCTGTGGGGTCAGGGACTAGCCCCCCTCCCTAGACTTCGGGGACCTCCTTGGGTTCCTCTGCCACGGCTATGCTGACCCCTGGGGGAGTGAGTCTGGTGAGGCTTAGGGGCCCTCAGGAGCAGAGACGGGGTGTGGGTGTGAGGCTGGGAGGCTGGGGGAGCCTCCCTGCTGGGGTTCCTTCTTTGCCAACAACCACAAGAGCAGACCTTGGTCTTTCAGCAGAGGGATGACAGGTGGCACGGATCACCAGGTCACCAGGGTCATTTGTAGGTGGCTGCCCAGAGGCTGCTCTCTGTCCAGTGCATTGGAGATGGGCAGGGGAAACTCCGGCCGTCCTGGGGTGTATCCCAGGCCGCCTGGACCCCCATCTAGGCTCTGTCGCCAAGGGCACTGGAAGGCCCTTGCCCCTTTGCATGTGGTCCAGCGGTGATGCCGGGGCAGCCATGGGCAGCACAGGGCATCCGCGTGAGCAGCCTTTGAAGACGCCAAGAGTGTCTCAGGAGCAAATAAGTTAGTCGTTGTTACTGTTCAGTCTGGAAGGCGTGTCCGACTCTTTGCAACCCCGTGGATCATAGCCCGCCAGGCTCCTCTTTCCGTGAGATTTTCCAGGCAGGAGTACTGGAGTGGGTTGCCATTTCCTTCTCCACGGCATCTTCCCGACCTAGGAACTGAATCCGAATCTCCTAGGTTGGCAGGCGGATTCTTCACTGCTCAGCCACCAGGGAAGCAAACCAGTTAGATCGATGACAAGTCAGCAGCTCCTAATTTTTATTAAAAATATCTCGTTTACTCCTGCCTCTTCCCAGAACTTTTCCCTGGCTGGCAGACAGGAGGGAGGCAGAGATGGCAGGTGAGCTCACCAAGGCTCAGGCTGCCTGGCCTGGTGGTGACATGCTCTCTGGGAAGGTCATACACGAGGAAATCCCAGCCAAGTCGTGTATGAGGAGTACCAGGGTCTTGTTTTCCATGACATTTCTCCTCAAGCACCCGCACATTTCACATTACACTCACGAAACAGATTCCAGATTTCTGCAACAGAAGATGAAGATGAATGTCTCCTTGGACATTTAATTATCTTTGGCTGGAAATGTGCTGCGGATCTGGGCCTGAAGTAGGGTGGTAAACGTAGGCTCCGGTGGTGGACAGCCTGTCTGCCGTGTTCCTCTCCACGTTCTTGGAGGTCAGCAGATGACTTGGTCTCCTGGTTAAGTGTGTTGTAGGAATCATTTTCCCTTTTTTTATGCAGTGATCAGGTTGGCAACTTCCAATCTGCTAAATAATACTTTGTTGGGTCTGTGTATGGAGAGATTACATAAATAATTTTATTTTTTTAAGTGATTTAAAATACCATACATAATAAAAGACATTGTTGAATTGCCTGGAAAAAAAAAACACCTCAATTTAAAAATACTTTTCCTATTTATGAACCTTTAATTTTCCCTCAAGTACAGCTGTCTGCTCTGTAATACCCTGATGGTGGATTTTCAGTTCCAGGAAGTATTGTGAAAAAGTGTGTATTAGTCGCTCAGTCGTGTCTGACTCTTTGCCACCCCAGGACTATAGCCTGCCAGGCCCTCTGTCCAAGGGATTCTCTAGGCAAGACTGGAGAGGGTTGCCCTTCCCTTCTCCAGGGGACCCTTCCGACCCAGGGATCGAACCCACGTCTGTACTTTGCAGGTGGAATCTTTATCACTCAGCCACCTGAGAAACCCATTGTGAAGATGTGTTATGCTGCTTCAGTCCTGTCTGACTCTTTGTGACCCCATGGACTGTAGCCCACCAGGCTCCTCTGTCCATGGGATTCTCTAGGCAAGAACACTGGAGTGGATTGCCATGCCCTCCTCCAGCGGATCTTCCCAACCCAGGGATCGAACCCCTGCCTCTTAGGTCTCCTGCGTTGGCAGGCAGGTTCTTTACCACCGCGCCACCTGGGAAGCCCCTTCATTGTGAAGATGGCAGTCCTCGTTTCCCCTTCAGAGGTCATTTCTGGACTCGTCCGCTGCCTCCATGAACATAGCTCACTTCTTCCCAGCATGCTCTGGCTCCCTTCCATTCCTCTCTTTCCTTTTAAAGGGAGAGCAACTGTCTAGCTCTTTCTGCCCAATTAGGAGGGTCCGCACTGTTTCTGCGGTGGTGGCCGACCCAGAGCAGAGGGAGCCAGAGTCTCGTGGGCTCTAGCAGCAGACAGCAGAGAAAATAGAGTGAAGAGAACTTTCCTTCCACACCCAGCGCCTGGGTTCATCTCGAGGCCAAGGCTGGCACAGGGCAGCACCACAGAGCCGCAGACACCACCTTCAGAGTCTCAGCCCCGTTCGCCCCCAGCCTCAGACCTCGGCATTCCTTGAGTTATCTATTCCCGAAAAGATATTAATTATCTACTGTTTACATGTTGCTGGGGTTTTTGTTTATTACTTTGAAAGTTATTTAACTGGTCTTGGTGTTGCGCTAGGTTGGAAAGTGTGCCTCCGAAGGTCTGTCCTTCCCGAGCCCCAGGCGTTCGCCTGGGCCTGTGGCCGCCCCCGCGTGAACCAGGGGACAGGTCAGTGCAGCGGAGAGGACTGAGCCTGGGGGGCGGGCGCCGGGCATCCGCTCGGGGGGCTTGGCTGGGGCAGTCTGGCCCAGCGCCAGCGCTGAACTGGTGTCCCCGCCTCTGGGGATGACGTCGCCGTGGGGACACTGATTTGACTGGACTAGACAGACTTCACATCAGCGCCTTTGATGAGGTCGCGGGTGACAGGAGTGACAGAAGACACCGATAGAAGCAGCTCTGGGAGGGTGCGAGGCCTGACCCTGGCCCCCGGAGGGAGCGGAGCTGGCACGTGGCCAAGACGCAGCACATGTAGCGGGTGCCGCGAGACGGGCTTGGAAGGCGTGGGGCTCCCAGGAGAGACGTGACGGAGGGGAGGTTTTCAGGCAGAGGTGGCTTTGGCCTGAGGGCTACATCGTGTCTCAGCAGACGCGGGACCAGGCCACACGAGAGCTTGACGAGCAGATGGAGGAAGCGTCTCTACACACCAGGTTAAGACAGGGATGCTCCGGCCTGGGGCTCACCTCCGCTGACCCTGACTCCCACCACCCAAGCCCGGGGAGGTGCCCGGGGCTGACCGGCCTGAGCATGACCGCAGAATCCGTGTGCACACAGACCCCGAACACCGGTGCCCGCTGGCAGCCCCGGAGGTGCCCGCTCGTGTCCGCCTTTAGGAGGGACCTCTGCGGGGAGCACAGCTGGTGGCCTCTGGGTGTCATGGGGCTCCCGGCTGACAGCAGTTCCTCCCGCTGATCCTGGCCAGGTGGGCACAGGTGGGCCCAGGTGAGGGAATGGGCCCGGAAGCCGAAGGGGCCGGGGGGACTCGTCCCCCGGGGTGAGCGGTACTCAGGGGGGTGAAAGGTCACATGAACACAACCTCCCAGGGTGGGGAGGGAGGCAGCTGCAGGTCAAACCACGCTGAGTTCCATGTCTTATTAACTTACCAGGAGGCGAGGGAGCGGGCAGAGGTCCAGGCTCCCACAGTGTTTGCACTCAAGTATTCTCATGCCGAAAGACCCCCTGAAGGAGGGTGTGGCCACCCACTCCAGGACTCTTGCCTGGACAATCCCTGTGGACGGAGGAGCCTGGCCGGCTACAGTCCGTGCGGTTGCAAAGAGTCAGACGCGACTGAGTGACTAAACGCAGCA